CAGTGACACAGTCTTTTTTTGGGGGGGTTCTAAATATTATTGAATCAATACCCTCTCTAACAGTCCCACTACTATGACCTCATCAATTCTTGCCTGGGTCATCATTACCTCTTGTCTTATCTGTCATATCCCTGCCATGCTACATAGTTGCCAAACTGCTGTTTCTAAATCAAAACCATGATTATGTTGTTTTTGTATTTGAAATCCCCTCTACAGCAATAGTAATAATGAATAGAAAACAGTGATTATTCCTGCAGGTAGGAGTGCCAGGGGACTTTGACTTCCTACTTAATATATTTCTGAATCTTTGTAACATTTTATTAAGAATAAAATTACTTTAGGTTTCAGAAAAATAACTTAGGATTTATTACTATTAGTACCACTGTTGATTTTCTTCAGATGAAACTTCAAATGCTTTCACAAGATGCTAAGTCCAAAACTCTTAAGAGGTAGATCTATAGATATAGACACACAAACATCTACCTCTTATCAAAGCTTAAATATCGTCACATAATCTTCTTTGCTGGATGTTTTCTTTCCAGTATTTGTCAACAGGAGCCTTTTGATAATTAGGTTACTTCTCTTTTTATGCATACTTCAACATTTCAATGTGGGTCTACATTCTTGATGCTCCATTTACAGCGTATTTTATTCCTCACTTTTTACTGTTCAAGTGAGGGAGGAAAGAAGCATTTCTACAATTTGGATGTTCCCCTTGGTCAGGGAGCTTTATATATAACATAGCTTCCCACGAGTTGGAAGCTAGAAGTGTGCAAGTGAAGAAGGTATTATTCACTCATAGATTAGAAAAACTGAGGTTCATGGCACTTACGATTACACAATAAGTAAGGCAGGATCCAAGTGTAAGGGTAATTTTATGTCTAATACTATCCTCCTTCCAAAGTCTTCTTGGTAATGAATGTACGTAGCATGCTCTCACTTACTTTGCAGCTTGTAGCTCTCCTCCATCATTGCAAAGGAATGTTTCATTTCTCAAGCCACCAGGTAAGCTTCTAGAGACCTGAACTTATGTGACATCTTCTTTGGTAAGAGCAGCTATGCTGCCTATGGTTTAAAGCATGGCTTTACAGTTAGTCAGACCTGGTTTCAAAGCATAGACTGCTGGAATGCTCTGGGCCTCAGTTTCCTTGTTTGTAAAATGATGTTTATAATTCCTGTCCCATATAGTTGTGCGTAAAGAGTTTAGCAAGGAATCTAGCGTCATAATGTTCAATAAGTGTTAGCTATCACGTTCCATGTGCTCTATTGCCCTGGGTGGTACAAACGGTTTGTGCTCAACTACTAACCTAGCTGGAAGTTCAAACCCACCCCGAGATGCTACAGAATAAAGGCCTAGCGATCTACTCCCATAAAGACTGCAGCCAAGAAAACCCTACGGAGCAGTTCTACCTAGCAACACATGAGCTGGCCATGAGTTGTAATCAACTCAATGGCAGTTCAGTTTGGTTTTTATTGTTTTAGGGTCTTACAAAAGTTATCATAAATTATTATAAAATTGACCTCACTAAAAATAAGAATTTCTGTATATCAAAAAGAACTCCAGTGGTACAGTGATTAAGGCATTCGGCTGCTGACCAAAAGGTCCACAGTTTGTACCTGCCAGTTGGTCTGTGGGAGAAAGATGAGATAGTTTGCTTCTATAAAGGTTTATAGCCTTGGAAACTTACATGGAAGCTTACTGAATATGGTCTTATATGGTCGCTATGAATAGGAATCAACTGGATAGCAGTAGGTTGCGGATTTTTTTTTTTTTTTTGGTATACTAAAAACCAGGAGCTCTGGTAGCATAGTGCCTAAGGCACTTAACTACTAAGCAGAAGGCTGGCAGTTCAAACACACCAGCCACTCCTTGGGCAATCTGCTTCTGTAATGATAGTGCCTCAGAAACCCAAGGAAGGGTCATTATGAGTTGGGGCTGACTCAACAGCACACAACAACAACAACAACAACATACCAAAAATCACCATGTTGTTGTTGTTATGTGCTGTTGAGTCGGAACCGACTCATAGTGAGCCCTCCTTGGGTTTCCAAGGCAGTATCACTATGGAAGTAGATTGGTCAACCTTCCTTCCGAGGAGTGGCTGGTGAGTTTGAACCTCCAGCCTTCTGGTTAGCAGTCAAGTGCCTTAGGCACTATGCTACCAGACCTCCTAAAAATCACCATAAAGATCATAAATAAAAACAAGCCACAAACTGGAAAAAGATTTGTTACACACATAATAAGTATAAGTTTAGTCCAGAATATAGAAAGTGCTTCAATAAATCATGATGAAAACTGCAGACCATCTAATTGAAAGATAAGCAAAATATATAAACAGGCATTTCATAGCAGAGAAAATATGAATGGAAAATTAGAATTTGAAAAGGTGCACAACCACATTAATAATCAGAGAAATATATATTAAAGCCACAATTAATTACCCAGATTTGAGATAATGTGGCTCAATCGGGAATGCTTATATACTGCTAAAGTCAGTTGCTGGTTGAGTTGATTCTGACTCATGGCAACCTGCTAGTAAAGTGTAAATCAATTCAATCTCTCTAGAAAACAACTTGACCTGCTCTTGTAAAAGTGAATATTTGCATGTATTATCACCCAACAGTTCTATTCCTAGGTATTTATAGACTCTTGCAACACGTAAGGAGAGGTGCCAGATTTAGCAAACAAAAACACAGGATGCCCAGTTAAATTTATTTAAAATAAAGTGTTTTTTTTTTCTTTTTTTTTAAGTTTACCTGACCTTCAAATTTAACTGGGCATCCTGTATTTTACCTGGTCAGCGTACAAATAAGATGAGGCATGTAGAAGACGATTCATAGTAGCATTGCTTATAATAGCAAAATCTGGAACCCACCTAAATTTCCATTGAGGAAATAATGGATAAACTGTGGTATATTCACACAGGGACTATTAAGCAGCAGTGAAAATGAATGAACTTCAGCTATGAGTAGTAACATGAATAAATCTTAGAAACAGTATTAAGTGGAAAAAGCAAGTCAAAGAATATATATTAATTGCAATCTTATCTTCATAAAACTCAAAAACCACCACAACTAAGCAATCTGTTGTATAGAGTACATACATAGGTGATACAAGAGAAGGAGAAAAAAATGCAAAGTAGTTATTATAAAGATAGTGGTAGAGGCAGGAGGTCACAGATAATGTTGGTAATGTTCTGGTTTACACAGGTAAAGGGTACACCGGTGTGTGTTCATTTCACGGCTATACATCTTATCTCAGACATGTCCTATAAGTTCTACAGTGTACTTTGTTAGGTGTCACTGAGTCATTGCGAGTTATAGCGACCCTGTGTGCTACAGAACAAAGCTCAGGCCTGCACCAGCCTCACTATTGGTGCTATGCTTGAGCCCATTTTTGCAGCCACTCTATCAATCCATCTTGTTAAGGGTCTTCCTCTCTTTCCATGACCCTCTACTTAACCAAGCATGACGTCCTTCTCCAAGTACTAGTAGTTCCTCCTGATAACATGGCCAATGTACATGATATGAAATCTCACCATCCTCACTTCTGAGGAGTATTCTGGCTGTACTTCTTCCAAGACAGAATTGTTCGTTCTTCTGACAGTCCATATTCAATATTCTTCCTCAACACCATAATCCAAAGGCATCAATTCTTCAGTCTTCCTTATTCATTATATTTTAGGATACCTGTCTTAAAGAAAATAGCTTATTTTGCAATCTGAGAAGGGGTGAAAGTACAAAACAGTACTCCCAAGCTAGCTCCTGAGAGTAGGTTAGAGTTGGAATGTACATTTATCAGGTAGATACTTCCTGCTAAGTACTGTGCTAGATGATAGTGTAGAGCTGTGGGTTGTGATAGACGGATGTTCATAGAGGGTAAAAAATACAGCTCCTCTTCTTAAAAGCTTTTGCAGAAGGCTGCTAGGGACTAGGAAAGCCACACATTAAGCACCGTGGTATGTGGTACTGACTGTACTTGCTACTGGCGACCAGGAGAACGGGCCCAGTCAATTACCTAATACTCTTTAGATCCTGTTCGTCTCTTTACGTGGGGTGGTGGTGGGCTGAGGTTGAGACAGTTCTCCCCCAGCTCTGAAAGTCGACTTGTGTCATTCTAAAACCAAAAACAAACTCACTGACGTGTAGTCGGATCTGACTCAGCGACCCTCCTTGGGCTTCCGGGGGAGGGGTGGGGTGGGGTGGGGGGGTGGGGTGGTATCACTACGGAAGTAGATTGCCCAATCTTCCTTCTAGGACCACTTTAAAGGAGAGGGAGATTGAGGGTACAGGCAGTTTATATTTGTTGTTGTTGTCGTTATGTGCCGTCGAGGCGGCCCCGACTCATAGCGACCCCTCCTTGGGTTTTCGAGGCAGTATCACTAGGAAGTAGGATTGCCCAACCTTCCTTCCGAGGAGTGGCTGGTGGGTTTGAACCGCCAGCCGTCTGGTTAGCAGGCAAGTGACTTAGCCACTATGCTACCAGAGTTTATATTAGCGAGCAGAAAATGAAAACCTAAAAATCCTTCTTGGCCTGGGGAGACTCTTGAGATGTAAAGTTGGTTAAATTAAAATAACTGGCTTTATTCTTGGAAGAGTAAATATAGGAATGGAGCGGTGCCTAAGGCATTTGACTGCTAACCTGCTAACCAGAAGGTTGGCGGTTCAAATCCACCAGCCACTCCAGGAAGACACATCAGGTAATCTACTTCCATGAAGATTTACTGCCTGGGCAATCCAAAGGGGGTCTCTATTAGTCCGAATTGACTGCATCATGGCAGTGGGTTTTCGGGTTTAAAACAAAAGCGCACACAAAACAACCACAGTAACCCTGACTCCGGCCAGCTGTATGTGGGGCGAAATAGGCTGTATCACGTGCCACGGAGCGCGTGTGCGTCACGGCGTAGGGCGGGGCGTCCGGGCACGGTTTCCTCAGCGACACTGAGAGGCTGGCCGCTGTGGAGTGCCCCTGCAAGAGCGTGACGTGTGGGCGTGAGAAGCATGGAGACCCCTCCGGGCCTGCAAACCGACTGTGAAGCGCTGCTCAGTCGCTTCCAGGAGACCGATAGCGTGCGCTTCGAGGACTTCACCGAGCTGTGGAGGAGCATGAAGTTCGGGGCCATCTTTTGGTGAGTGTTTGTCGCCACTCACCTCCTCACCCGGCTCAGGGGCAGTGTGGGAAGTTCTCCTCTCTCTCCGCCCCACCTCCATCCCCACCCCCCTGGCATCATCGCACCTGTTCTAATCTGAGATTGTCAGCTACCTCTATCCCGAGCCTCGGGTTCTCGCTTTCTCTGGGATTTCATTGGGCTTCAGCTGTATACTTTGCGGCCTCCTCCCGAATATACGTCTCTTCCTGGCGGTCCTTTTAAACTTTTCTCTCCATTTCCACTGTCTACCTTTCCAAGGTCGCCATCACCTGCCCTTTACCAGTCTAGTTCTCCTGGAATCCCATATTTATAAATAAAACAAACATACAAGTAAGCAAAGAAACAAACAAAAACCCTGTAGATTGCATTTTTCACACAGCAGCCGGAGTCTGATGAGGTCGCTCCCCTGCTCAGCACCGTTCAGTGTTCCTGTTGCCTTCAGGGATAAAGCTCAAGTTCCGTAACTGAGCTTTGGGAACTGGCCTCTGCCCCCTCTCGCCAGCATCATCTACTGGTCCCCTCCATGCGCTCACTTTCTTACTGTAGTAAGAGGTTAGTGCCTTTAGCCCTTCCAGGCATTTCCTCAAACCCGTTTACCTGGCCACTTCATTCTTCACTCAGTTTAAGCTCGGTTGACAGTTCTTCAGGGAAGCCTTCCTCTGCTCTTCTACACTGAGGTGCCGGTGCTCTTTTTTCCCTATAGAAACCTGTGCTTATTTTATCTCTTCACTTACCACATTATTATTGTAATTGTGTAGTTGGAAAGGTGGGTAAAGAGCGTGGATTATAGAGCCCAACTGCTTGAATTTGAATGCAGGGTCCACTAACTAGCTGTGACTGTGGGCAAGTTACTTACTTTCCTGAGCTTATGTATCTGTAAAACATGGATAATCTTGTTATTAGGTGCTTTCAGGTTGCTTCTGACTCGTATTGCCCCTATGTATGACAGAGTGAAACACCGCCTGGTCCTGGGCCATGTTCACAATCGTTGCTATACCTGAGCCTGTTTTTGCAACCACTGTATCAACCATGATATCTGGTCCCTCCTGATACCATGACCAAAGTATGAGAAGCATTTCCAGCTGCATATCTTCTGAGACAGATTTGTTCGTTCTGGAATGCTATCATATATTCAGTATTTTTGGCCAACACCATAATTCAAAGGCATAATTTTTTCTTCAATCTCTCTTGTTCATCGTCCAGCTTTCACAAGCATATGAGGTGATTGAAAATACTATGGCTTGGGTCAGGCTCACCTTAATCTTCAAAGTAATGTATTTACTTTTTAATATTTTAAAGAGGTCTTTTAAAATAATTTCACCCGGTGCAATACATTGTTTGATTTATTGACTAGCTCCTTCCCTAGGCATTGATTATTGATCCAAGTAAAAAGAAATCCTTGATAACTATTCTGGTTACCTAGTGCCACTCTGACAAGAATATACCACAGATGAGATGGCCTTAACAAACAGGAGTTTATTCTTATAATTTGGAGCCTTTAAGTCCAAGTTCAAAGTGCCAGGCTCTAGGGACTGGGTGAAAGCCCCTCAACCTTGGGGTCCAGCTGTGCCTCCTGCTCCTGGCCCACTGGAGCTAGAGGCATTTCTTCACTCAGACAGCTGCTGGCTTATGAGGCTGAGAAGCCCAGGGTTGACAAGTAAAAAGGCACAGTCCCGATGTTACCAAACCACACAACAGGCCATTAACTTAAGTCTTTTGTACATCCCAAGGTCGGCAGAGCATAGCAGGCTGCTGAGCAATGACATGGCTACTTGCAGGGTCCCAGCGTGCCATAGGCTAGAGACCATTTTCAAAGCTTCTCCTTATATACAGGAAGCGGACCACATCCCAAAGGCTGCTTGTGGAAGATCCCACCGTGGAGATCATTGCCAGTCTCATCATGGGGAATAACTACCA